TATAAATAATATGTGTAAAATAGAGTAGTGTGAGGGGAATGGAATTCCTCTGAGGTTTTGAGTGTAAGGTCCAATTTAAGTATAGTTTTGAAGAAAAAATACAGGTGAATTATGAGGGCAGAAGAAATACATATTATTCATAGTTGATTTGACATGCTTAAATTAGGATGTAGTGGGAAAAGTGGCTGTATTAATGTAATTTTCATTCATGCTCAGAATTTCTTTCCTCCCTAATACATATTTCCAGGGTGAATTATCCACTCACTTTAAAAGTGCCTTTCAGGGGCTTCCCTGGTGGCGCAGTGGTTGAGAGTCCGCCTGCTGATGCAGGGGACACAGGTTCGTGCCCCGGTCCGGGAGGATCCCACATGCTGCGGAGTGGCTAGACCCGTGAGCCATGGCCACTGGGCCTGCGCGTCCAGAGCTTGTGCTCCGCAACGGGAGAGGCCACAACAGTAAGAGGCCCGCGTACAGCAAAAAAAAAAAAAAAGTGCCTTTCTGCTTAACTAGTCTCGTTTAGTTCCTCAGTAAGCCTGAGAGATGCTCCAATACTTTGGTCTGAGCATACCCGATAATAAAACTGTATTTCAATTTTACATTCCTAACATTCCTAACCAGGTAAACTAGCCTTCATCTGCTGAGTGTATTGTATTCCAAAAGTTTGTTACCAATTCTGTTTTTTGAACTTGACAGTTTCTTATAAAACAATTTAGTCAATTTTGGTAATGTACCTGAGTCAACCCTCAAAAGCCCCATTTTGACCCATAACATATTTGAGCCATATAGGTACTAAGTCTGAATGTTCTGACCTTGAGGCAGGCAGCCATGTGCTACAAGAGGAAAGAGGAAGCAACTCCTTTTTTAGGCACAGGGCTAACAGTAGACAAAATATTGATAGGATCTGTTTGTTTTAGACATTATCACCTTCCCTTTTCATACTCATTACTGCTTCCCAGTGACACTCTCCCTAGTTGGAGCCCCTAATGCCTTCATGCTTGCCTTAAGTACCTTGCCTTGGACTTTTCACCTAGGCCCGTGGGTTCTTTACATCCCAAGGATCCTTTGCTCACAATTACCTGCCTTTCCTGTCCCATTTGGGCTTCTGTTCTATTGTAGTAACTGATCATACCTAGATATTAGGAGGTATAATGCCAGCTATCAGCCCCTTAACCTATCAAAGAGGAGTTTGTATTTTAAAAAGAGGATACAATGTCTATTAAGACAACTGACCTAGATTCTTCAAAAAGTTACTTGGGGGAAAAGAGATAAAGGAGAGAGGCTGTTTTAGATTAAATGAGACAAAAGAGACACAACCAAATGCAGAGTGTGAACCTTGTGTGGATCCTGATTTGGAAAAAAATAAAAGCTGTAAGGGATATTCTTGGGACATTTAGGACAATTTAAATAGAGAATTTATATTAAAGGATGTACAATGATTAATTTTCTTAGCTGTGATCATAGTATTGTGGTTTTACAGGAGTCCTTATTGTTTGGATATGCATGCTGAGGTATTATGATCTCTAAAACTTAAAAATAGTTTAGGAAAAATAGAGCAAGTATAGCAAAATGTTAACAGTTGTTGAATTCATGCAGAGGGTATACAGATAGATGTTCATTGTATTATTCACCTTTTATGTGTGGTTGAAAATTTTCATAGTAAAGATTTGGAAAACAGGGAAGCTGTTCATTAGTATAATATTCTTTAGATTGTAAAATTTCATGCAATGGAGAATTCAGGCAATATGGAGAACTTCATTTTTTACTCCTTCTTCCCTATTCCACTTATCATTCATTCAAAGATTCACATATTGTCCTATTGACAGCAGCTGCTCTGGCTAGAGGAAGGAAGAGTTTCTCAGGGCAACAGCAGCTTATTTTTAGATATAGATTGTAAGTCATAGATTACCAGAATGTGAAAATCTTTGGCAGTGTGGTTCATTAGAATCATTATTTTTTTTGACTTTGAATAAAGACTGTTTCAAGTCATTAAAATCAAAAGTTAGACAAAATGTATTCTTTTATATTGAATATATATTGTAAGTCTCTCTATGTAAAAATAGACAGTAATTTAATAGTAATTTCATAAGAAGAATCAGTGGACATAACTGAATTGTTAAGTGTTGCATTTGGAATAACTTTAGCTCTAACTTTAAAAGTAAATAACAAAAATAGACTAATAATTATGAGTCTATTTCAGATCAAATCACACTATAAGTTACCGTTGTTCCATAATTAATGCCAGTTGAAGTTAAGACTGAGACTGATGCACCTAGGGATGAATTTTTCTTTCAACTTTTCTAAGATTTTTACATTTTAAAAATGGATATGGAAAACATTATGGAGCTTCTTGAAAAAAATTAAAAAACAGAACTATCATGTGATCCAGCAATTCTACTTCTGGGTATTTATCCAAGGGAAATGAAATCACTATCTCAAAGATATTTGCACCCCTGTATTCATTGAAGCATTATTTACAATAGCCAAGACATGGAAATAACCAATGTCCATCGATGGATGAATAGATAAAGAAAGTGTGATATACATATACACATTCTTCAGCCGTAAAAATGAAGGAAATCCTGCCACTTGTGACAACATGGATGGACCTTGAGGGCATTATGCTAAGTGAAATAAGTCAGACAAAGACAGACAAATACTGTATGAGCTCACTTATACATGGAATCTGAAAAAACCTGAACTCATAGACACAGAGAACAGATTGATGGGTTGGTTACCAGAGGTGGGGGGTAGGGAGTGGGCAAAATGGATGAAGGTCGTTAAAAAGTATAAACTTCCAGTTATAAGGTAAATAATTCCTGAGGATATAATGTACAGCGTGACTATAATTAACAATATTGTATATTTGAAGGCTGCTAAGAGAGTAGATCTTAAAAGCTCTCATCACAGGAAAAAAAAATGTAACTATGTATAGTGATGGATGTTAACTAAACTTATGGTGGTAATTTTGTAATATATACATATATCAAATCATTATATTGTATACCTAAAGCTAATACAATATTATATGTCAATTATATCTCAATAAAATGGCAGTTTCATGTGATTCAAACTAATTATCAGTGAAAAAAACAAAGATTCCTGCCTTCATGGAATTTTCATTTTAGTGGGAAGTGTATTGCAGTGTAACAAATTATTCCAAAATTTAGTGGCTTAAAACAACTAACAATTATTATCTCACAGTTTCTGTGGGTCATGAATTTGGGAGTGGTTTAGCTGGGTGGTTCTGGCTCAAGGTCTGTCGTGAGGTTGTAAGTCTATATGTCAGCTGAGGCTACAGGCATCTAAAGACAACTGAGTCTGAAAGATCAGCTTTCAAGACAGTTAACTCACCTGGTAGGATGTCTTATGTCTTTGCCGGTTATTGACAGGAGGCCTCAATTTCTCACCATGTGAACCTCTCCAAAAGGCTGCTTGAGTATCCTTATGCCATGGTGGGTAGCTTCCCCTAGATGGGGTGATTCAAGAGAGAGGACAAGGAGGAAGCCACAGTGACTTTTTTCTCCTCTCGCAGTGCCTTTTATGGCCAATCTTGGAAGTCACACTTTGTCACTTCCACTATTGACTTGGAAGCAAGTCACTGAGTCCAGGCCACACTGAAAGAGAAAGGAGTTAAATTCCACCTCTTGAAGGAAAGGAGTAGCAAAGAATTTGTGAACATATTTTAAAACCACCACAGGAAGACAGGTAATATGCAATAAACATAGTAAGTAAATTATGGAGTTTATTAGAAGGTTATAAGTTCTATGAAAATAAGAAAAAAAATAGAGCAAAGGTAATGGGAATCAGAGTATCTGTGTGTGGAAGGGGTGTGGGATGCAATTTTCAACAGGGTGGTCATTGTAAGACTCATTAGTAAGGTTAGATTTGAGTAGACTTGAAAGAGATGAGTAAGTTAGCTAAGCAGATATCTAAGAGAAGAAAGTCCTAAATCAAGGGAATAGCTAACCCAAAGGCCCTGTGGTGGGGGTCAAATGAGGTGAGAGAAAAGAATGTTAGCCATATTTTATTAGTAGGGTATTTTCAGCTGGGGAGGTGGGAAAGTTGAGGAAGGATAATTTCTTTTTTTTTTAACTTAAAGTTTTTTGTTGTTTTTTGGTTTTTAAGTTTTTAATTTATATTGGAGCCTAGTTGATTAACAACATTGTATTAGTTTCAGGTCTACAGCTAAGTGATTGAGTTATACATATACATGTATCTATTCTTTTTCAAACTGTTTTCCCATTTAGGTTATTACAGTGTTTTGAGCAGAGTTCCCTGTGCTATACAATAGGTACTTCTTGGTTATCTTTTTTTTTTTTTTTTTTTGCGGTACGCGGGCCTCTCACTGTTGTGGCCTCTCCCGTTGTGGAGCACAGGCTCCAGACGCTCAGGCTCAGCGGCCATGGCTCACGGGCCTAGCTGCTCTGTGGCATGTGGGATCTTCCCAGACCGGGGCACGAACCCATTTTCCCTGCATCGGCAGGCGGACTCTCAACCACTGCGTCACCAGGGAAGCCCAGTTATCTATTTTAAATATAGTATTGTGTACATGTCAGTCCCAAACTTCCAATCTATTCCCCCCACCCTTCCCTCCTGGTAACCATAAGTTCATTCTCTAAGTCTGTGAGTCTATTTCTGTTTTGTAAATAAGTTCATTTGTATCATATTTTTTAGATTCCGCATATAAGCAATATCATGTGATATTTATCTTTCTCTGTTTGACTTACTTCACTTAGTATGATAATCTCTAGGTCTATCCATGTTGCTGCAAATGGCATTATTTCATTCTTTTTTATGGCTGAGTAGTATTCCATTGTATATATGTACTACATCTTCTTTATCCATTCCTCTGTTGATGGACATTTAAGTTGTTTCCATGTCTTGGCTATTGTAAACAGCGCTGCAGTGAACATTGGAGTGCATGTCAGAGGAAGGATTATTTCCATGGCTGAAATTAACAAGTTCATTGTTTCTAATAGGAATATAAAGAAGAAATCAAAATGGATCCAAGTATGAGTGTGAATTCTGTCACCATCTCTGTTGAGGGGATGACATGTAGTTCCTGTGTTTGGACCATTGAACAACGCATTGGAAAACTGAATGGTGTACATCACATTAAAGTAAGTTACTCCTTGGAAATCAGTGAAGTCAAATGCTGTTGACTGGAATTCTTCTGGGAAATTACTTCTAACACTGAGACAGATGCAGACACACTGACACGTACGACATAAAGACTATCACACTTCTAACCTTGAAGCTAAATAAGTTTTCTTCAGCCCATTAACTTATTTTTTGTTAAAAAATAAGAAATAATACATTTTTAAAATTTAAAAACATCTGAAGATGGAATCTGGACGTTATGTTTGTATATTTATCAATATATATTTTATAAGTATATAGATGCTGATATAATTTTTATTACTCTTAATCTCATGTTGATCTAAAATATATGTTCTCAGAGAAAGGATTGTGAGGTTTCTTTCTCTTTTATAGCATGACAGTTACTATGTTTAGTAATGATGTAGTCTTCTCTAAGAGCGTGCATACAAAGTATAACTAATTTTCTAAACATTTTCACTTCAATGTTATTTAATCAATAAATCATTTTATTTAAAAGAATACATTACAATTAATTACATTAAGTGACATTACCAAACAGTTTTAGAGTGGTTAGCTCTAGAACAAGGAATGAAAGAAACACTGTTAACCATTATGTGTCTGTGTATTTTCTCTTCACATTTCTTAAATCACAAATAAAGGGCTTCCCTGGTGGCGCAGTGGTTGAGAGTCCACCTGCCGATGCAGGGGACGCAGGTTTGTGCCCCGGTCCGGGAAGATCCCACATGCCACGGAGCGGCTGGGCGCGTGAGCCATGGCCGCTGAGCCTGCGCATCCAGAGCCTGTGCTCCGCAACGGGAGAGGCCACA